TTCAGGCTGAGTCCAAGACCGATAGCAAGAGTGGTGGAAGTGGACAAGATATTGTTCAAGCTGTCTTCAACATACTGGGTAAATATGACCATATTTGTATCGCAGGAAAACCATATATTGAAATATGAATCCTCTGAAAAAAGTACAATAAAACGACATATCATATAAACAAAAACAAGTAAACAATAGTTTTGCATTTGAAAAACTACTGTTTCATCTACTGGCACGTAAAAAAATATACAGCTAAAATGAACTTGTGAATTATGTATAAATTTTGACTACTTGTACACCAATAAAATAATGCACATACATACTATTTTTGCAGGTGTAAAAGATGCAAGCTCGGTCAGTGTGGATACAACTTTTGCAGACCTTGGTTTGGACTCTCTGATGGGTGTAGAAATCAAGCAGACTCTAGAGAGAGATTATGATGTGGTGTTATCCACAGCAGAAATCAGACTACTCACCATGAATAAACTGCAGGAGTTGTGCAGCAGTCAAGGGCTTCAGAAGGAGTCTCAGCAGAAATTAAGTCACTCTGATAGATATCAGCTGGACAAAATGATGCCAGATCAAGCCATCATCTGCCTTCAAGAGAAACATAGTGACAAGACACTATTCTTGATGCATCCACTGGAAGGTAATATGTTTATTTTTTTTTTAGAATTCAATTATAAAATAATAATAATTCATTTCAACTCAAAATTATTCTCTAAATTTGGCACAATTAAGACATTCATTATCCCTATAAATGTTGCAATATTTCAGGTGATTGCACAAGTCTGAGGGAGCTGGTCGAAAAATTGCCTTACACAGTATATGGACTTCAGTGTTCATCAGATGTACCATTAAATTCCGTTTCCTCTATGGCTTCACACTATATTCAGGTAATTATTTTTTGCTTTTTCATTTTGGTTGATAAATAAAGAGAGTTTAATTAAAAGAAAACCATCAAAGAAAAGTAAGGTTATCATATTGTGTTCTGTAAGAAAGAAATGATTTAATGAACATTAATTTTCAGTGTATAAAGTCCATACAAAAAAGTGGCCCTTACTTTCTGTCGGGGTACTCGTTTGGTGCCTGTGTTACTATTGAGATAGCAGCTCAGATGGAGGAGGCAGGAGAGGTCATCAGTCAGATAATCTTGTTAGACGGCTCCCATAACTTTGTCTCAGTATACACTGAAATGTACAGGGACAGAAAAACTATTGAAAGTGAAGCCATGGCCGAAACAGAGGCTTTGTGTAGTTTTGTTCAGCAGTTTCTTCCTGGAAACTCAACTCAGGTAGAATTTAAAGAATAGATCACATTATATGTTTTTTATCCTTGGAAAATTGGATTTTAAATAAAATTATAAATTTACCTTATTTTTTAAATGTGCAGTTGATGGAACAACTTTCTGAAGCAGAAGATTTTGAGAACAGGGTCAGAATTGCATCAGAAGCCTTGATGACCACTGGATTATTCCCTGATGTTAAGGATCTACAGAGAGCAGCCAGTTCTTTCTACAGGCGACTCCAGATTGCAGAGAAATTCTCTTTGAGTCGTAAAATTCAGTGTCCTATCCATTTGCTGAAAGCAGCAGACAGCAAGCTTCAATCCAAGGATTCAGATTATGGGCTATCTGAGGTAAATTTATCAACTTATTTTAAAGAAATATCTAATTCAAGGTTAATGAAATTTGAGTAAATCATTCAGATATCTGTTTCAATAAGATGATATTTGGATATTTGAAATGAAAAAATATATGTATTGAAATGTAAATGTTTCATTAATCCCCTTTAAATTAAGACCTATATATTTAAATATTTTAGTATACTAGTATACTAGTGTAAATAATGCTGAGACAAATAATTAAACTGCAGTGGAAAAAGATTTGTTAACAGAACAGTATAAATATTTTCTAGAACTTGAACAATTAGAAAAAACGTTTTATTAGACACTTCAATGCATATTTTCACGGGTATTTTATTACAGTGTTAATAGGACAAAATTTTTACCTGCCTAAAATTATACTTCTTTCAACTTTTCGATTGAACATATCTTATTCCTGATCCGATTATGTCAACCATGATTTTTTTTTTACTTTCAGGTGTGTTCTGGGGAACTCAAAGTTGAAACGGTCCCTGGCAACCATGAAACCTTCATAAAGGGAGAGAATTCTGTGATTACTGCCATACATTTTATAAATTGATGTCAAGCAACAGTCAATAACGCTTGAGACATTCAGTGAAATTATTGACATGTTCTGATTAATAAATAATTATTTATGTAAGTTATTAAAAGAATTGACTTCCATAGCAATGAATTGTATACATAAATATTATATATATTATCATGTGTGTATATTTCAATGATCTCATTTTTTACAAATGAAAATTTTATTCCCCGTGTATTTTTTGTGTTTTGAGACATTTCTGAATTGTAAGATTTATCTTAAAAACGCAGTTTTGCGTCTTATCCTTGTTATTTATCTGCATAATTGTGGTTTACGTTTTATTTTTTTTTATGTTTCACATAAATATCTGTCAAAAAGAAATCATCTTCCTAGAGGTTTAGATAATTATTTTAAGAAAGCATTGTGCAAATAAAATCATAAATCCGAACAGACTTTTTAAACGAAATAAACACATTCATAATATATTGTGTACAAAATATGCTGCAGTAATTAAATTCAGGATATTAAATTGTACATGCATTTTGATACAGATTTTGAAATAAATAGATTTCTCATTCCACAAGATGCAGTGGATGTTGTTTTGTACAAAACTGTATATACATGTATTTTGCATTTATTGCGATTTGAGGAGTAAAAATAAGATGTCCTGTGGTCATTTTCACACACACACACAAAAATCTTACGACTAAAATAAACCCTGAAAGTTTTTTTGTTAAAAAGAAGTATTAATTAATTTTCTAAAATATTATTATTTGCAATATTGTCAAAAGTAAAAGGAAAATAAGAGTTTTCGTGATCTTTTACAGCGTAGATACTTTTTGGAAAATTAGAAAATTTTTGTTTTAGTCATAAGAGTTCATGAAAAGGGCCACTGATTTTCTCACCTGAACCTAGATGCAGAACTGTAGCTCTCCACAAAATATATATTTACAGACCGGGCTGTCAATATAAATTTTTCAGAGAGCTACAGTTCTGCAGCTAACCTGAACTCAGGTGTAGTCTGTACATTTTGATGTTTATCCATAATTCAATACCATGAATCGTCCACATGCTTTTAAAAAATAGAAAAATCAGAACATTTGATTTTGTAAAAAAGCATATAACAAGTCATCAAATTAATAGAAACATCGTTTTTGGTTAATGTGATTATGAGTATGTTATGTAAAAATTAAGGCGTATTTGTAAGGCGAAGACAATTGCCAGGTCTAAGTCTAGAATTTCTACATTTCAAAGATTAAAAAAGTTGTCAATATTATTTTACACACATTTATTTCTTTTATTTTACTAAATACAAAATGTAATCAATTGATAAATAAATTCACTTTCACTCATGTTTTAATAAACATATTATTTGTTTTTATAATAAAAAGAAAAATCAGAAAAAAATGTTAACCAATCATATTTTAAAAAGAAATGGTAAAACAAAATTTGCAAAATATGAGGGATTTAAATTTTTTTTTAGACCAATCATGATTAAAATTTAACTGATCCCCAACAAAATTAAAACAAATAAAATGATATTTTTTTTACCTTTATGTGTTTACCACCAAGAAATCTATTTGATTGTTAAGTTCAGTTATTTTTGACCTGTATAATACCTAATCAAACTAGTATTCATAGGTTAATACCAGGTTTTATTCATTTCCAATAATTATAAAAATCTGGTTGTGATAAGTTCAATTTTGTTAGCGATTGGCCAAAAATAATGCTAAAAATAATTTTTCTAAAATTTAACTATTTCATTTCAATTTCTTTTTGAAATACTTGAGATGATTGCCTAACTTGTTCTCCCTAGTTGTGACTAGCATTGTGAAGATTTTAACCATATACCGTATATTCACAAAACATGTGTTTTGTTTTCATAAATGATTTTAAATAAAAATTATGGCCTTCTTTTACATTTTTATCAGGTTTCCATATGATGCATTCATTCACAGAAAACTTATAACTATAATGCATTTTATTTGCAAATAAATCGTTTTTCATTTTCTTTGAAAAATACCAAAAAATTTACCTAAAATAATCAAGAGCTAATATCGACCTTTCAATTTCATATGGATGTCTTAAAGAGGTAGGTAATACAATTTTGATGTGGCATTCCTCCTTAATATACCCCCAATGGTTCTAAAGAAGGAGTAAAAATATGATAATTGAAGAGAAGGATGACAGATAAATGGACTGATGCTTGACAATGAGTGATCAGAAAAGCTCACTCAAGCTTTTAGTTACTAGTAAGCTGCATATGATTCAGTTACCAAATTCTATGGTTATTTTACTGCAGATCTCTAAAAAATAGTACATGTACTCTTGTGTTATAATGCGAAGTTTAACTGGTTGTTACATTAAAAAACTATCCTTCGAAAAAAACAACTTTAAAATCAAAGATGTAAGTAGCACATGTCATTTATTACAAAGAATGTATAAATGAATATTGTTTTTACAACAAACTGTCCACGTAGTATCTGTAGAAGGTAAAAATATAATCCCTGAACTGTTATTTAAAACTTTAGTTAAAACATACATAAAGATGAAGAATTGAAACAATGAAAATTTAATCCAGTACAAATATTCTTTGAGTTTAAGACTGATTGTGAAATATAAATGCATTTACTGGAAATATAAACGAATAGATTTTTTTTATTTGAAATGGTGTAACAAGAGAGTTCACTGACTTATCTTATGAATATTTTTTTAAACTCCAAAACATTAATGAACGGTCTGCATCCTATCAATTACAAATCAAAAGGTCAAGGGCTGATAGGCTCAACATCAATTGACTTAGTCAAGAGTGCAAGAAGTAGAGTTTAGAGTTTGAATCTTACCGCATCTTCCAGTAGGGGGCTCCAGTTGAATGGGAGACAAGCTCTGTCTCACTAAGGCATCTGGATCAGCGTTAACTGTCTTCCGCTAACAAAGAAAAAAACAGAGGCATTAATAAAGACTTCATCATTAATAAGAGTCATTAAAATGCACAGACTGCAGAGAACAAGGCCAATTCCAATCTTAACCTCACCTGGGGTTTAGAGAGGAAATCGGGAATTTCAAAGTGGAACAAGTGCAGTTTCTTACTTACCCTTTTCACTAATAGGATGCACTGTACATAACTAGACAATAAATTCCTCTTCTTCTGTTGGCCGGCCTTGGTCCTCCAACGTCGTCCTCCAGCGTCGTCCTCCAGCGTCGTCCCCCGTCCGGGAACCTGAAAATATACAGCTAGAACAAAATTAGTAAAAACTCAACACAATAAACACAAATAATTCGAGAAATTGACATAAACACAAACATTAAACGAAGATGAGATGAACAAATCGATTAAGAAAATGAAGACAATTTAAGCAATTAGATCAGGAAAGAGTAAAATGGAGGAAGAGGATGGGGAGGAGAAGATAAGTTTTAGTTATGTTAGCGTAGGGAGGATACAGGAAACAGACAAAAAATAAGAAAGGGAGACATAAATGGCACTTCTCTAATAGGCTTCCTGGTTGCGGAATCGGCTCCTTGCGTTCATCTTCTGACGGGCCCCATCGGTCTGCATCCTATCAATTACAAATCAAAAGGTCAAGGGCTGATAGGCTCAACATCAATTGACTTAGTCAAGAGTGCAAGAAGTAGAGTTTAGAGTTTGAATCTTACCGCATCTTCCAGTAGGGGGCTCCAGTTGAATGGGAGACAAGCTCTGTCTCACTAAGGCATCTGGATCAGCGTTAACTGTCTTCCGCTAACAAAGAAAAAAACAGAGGCATTAATAAAGACTTCATCATTAATAAGAGTCATTAAAATGCACAGACTGCAGAGAACAAGGCCAATTCCAATCTTAACCTCACCTGGGGTTTAGAGAGGAAATCGGGAATTTCAAAGTGGAACAAGTGCAGTTTCTTACTTACCCTTTTCACTAATAGGATGCACTGTACATAACTAGACAATAAATTCCTCTTCTTCTGTTGGCCGGCCTTGGTCCTCCAACGTCGTCCTCCAGCGTCGTCCTCCAGCGTCGTCCCCCGTCCGGGAACCTGAAAATATACAGCTAGAACAAAATTAGTAAAAACTCAACACAATAAACACAAATAATTCGAGAAATTGACATAAACACAAACATTAAACGAAGATGAGATGAACAAATCGATTAAGAAAATGAAGACAATTTAAGCAATTAGATCAGGAAAGAGTAAAATGGAGGAAGAGGATGGGGAGGAGAAGATAAGTTTTAGTTATGTTAGCGTAGGGAGGATACAGGAAACAGACAAAAAATAAGAAAGGGAGACATAAATGGCACTTCTCTAATAGGCTTCCTGGTTGCGGAATCGGCTCCTTGCGTTCATCTTCTGACGGGCCCCATCGGTCTGCATCCTATCAATTACAAATCAAAAGGTCAAGGGCTGATAGGCTCAACATCAATTGACTTAGTCAAGAGTGCAAGAAGTAGAGTTTAGAGTTTGAATCTTACCGCATCTTCCAGTAGGGGGCTCCAGTTGAATGGGAGACAAGCTCTGTCTCACTAAGGCATCTGGATCAGCGTTAACTGTCTTCCGCTAACAAAGAAAAAAACAGAGGCATTAATAAAGACTTCATCATTAATAAGAGTCATTAAAATGCACAGACTGCAGAGAACAAGGCCAATTCCAATCTTAACCTCACCTGGGGTTTAGAGAGGAAATCGGGAATTTCAAAGTGGAACAAGTGCAGTTTCTTACTTACCCTTTTCACTAATAGGATGCACTGTACATAACTAGACAATAAATTCCTCTTCTTCTGTTGGCCGGCCTTGGTCCTCCAACGTCGTCCTCCAGCGTCGTCCTCCAGCGTCGTCCCCCGTCCGGGAACCTGAAAATATACAGCTAGAACAAAATTAGTAAAAACTCAACACAATAAACACAAATAATTCGAGAAATTGACATAAACACAAACATTAAACGAAGATGAGATGAACAAATCGATTAAGAAAATGAAGACAATTTAAGCAATTAGATCAGGAAAGAGTAAAATGGAGGAAGAGGATGGGGAGGAGAAGATAAGTTTTAGTTATGTTAGCGTAGGGAGGATACAGGAAACAGACAAAAAATAAGAAAGGGAGACATAAATGGCACTTCTCTAATAGGCTTCCTGGTTGCGGAATCGGCTCCTTGCGTTCATCTTCTGACGGGCCCCATCGGTCTGCATCCTATCAATTACAAATCAAAAGGTCAAGGGCTGATAGGCTCAACATCAATTGACTTAGTCAAGAGTGCAAGAAGTAGAGTTTAGAGTTTGAATCTTACCGCATCTTCCAGTAGGGGGCTCCAGTTGAATGGGAGACAAGCTCTGTCTCACTAAGGCATCTGGATCAGCGTTAACTGTCTTCCGCTAACAAAGAAAAAAAACAGAGGCATTAATAAAGACTTCATCATTAATAAGAGTCATTAAAATGCACAGACTGCAGAGAACAAGGCCAATTCCAATCTTAACCTCACCTGGGGTTTAGAGAGGAAATCGGGAATTTCAAAGTGGAACAAGTGCAGTTTCTTACTTACCCTTTTCACTAATAGGATGCACTGTACATAACTAGACAATAAATTCCTCTTCTTCTGTTGGCCGGCCTTGGTCCTCCAACGTCGTCCTCCAGCGTCGTCCTCCAGCGTCGTCCCCCGTCCGGGAACCTGAAAATATACAGCTAGAACAAAATTAGTAAAAACTCAACACAATAAACACAAATAATTCGAGAAATTGACATAAACACAAACATTAAACGAAGATGAGATGAACAAATCGATTAAGAAAATGAAGACAATTTAAGCAATTAGATCAGGAAAGAGTAAAATGGAGGAAGAGGATGGGGAGGAGAAGATAAGTTTTAGTTATGTTAGCGTAGGGAGGATACAGGAAACAGACAAAAAATAAGAAAGGGAGACATAAATGGCACTTCTCTAATAGGCTTCCTGGTTGCGGAATCGGCTCCTTGCGTTCATCTTCTGACGGGCCCCATCGGTCTGCATCCTATCAATTACAAATCAAAAGGTCAAGGGCTGATAGGCTCAACATCAATTGACTTAGTCAAGAGTGCAAGAAGTAGAGTTTAGAGTTTGAATCTTACCGCATCTTCCAGTAGGGGGCTCCAGTTGAATGGGAGACAAGCTCTGTCTCACTAAGGCATCTGGATCAGCGTTAACTGTCTTCCGCTAACAAAGAAAAAAACAGAGGCATTAATAAAGACTTCATCATTAATAAGAGTCATTAAAATGCACAGACTGCAGAGAACAAGGCCAATTCCAATCTTAACCTCACCTGGGGTTTAGAGAGGAAATCGGGAATTTCAAAGTGGAACAAGTGCAGTTTCTTACTTACCCTTTTCACTAATAGGATGCACTGTACATAACTAGACAATAAATTCCTCTTCTTCTGTTGGCCGGCCTTGGTCCTCCAACGCCTTGGTCCTCCAACGTCGTCCTCCAGCGTCGTCCCCCGTCCGGGAACCTGAAAATATACAGCTAGAACAAAATTAGTAAAAACTCAACACAATAAACACAAATAATTCGAGAAATTGACATAAACACAAACATTAAACGAAGATGAGATGAACAAATCGATTAAGAAAATGAAGACAATTTAAGCAATTAGATCAGGAAAGAGTAAAATGGAGGAAGAGGATGGGGAGGAGAAGATAAGTTTTAGTTATGTTAGCGTAGGGAGGATACAGGAAACAGACAAAAAATAAGAAAGGGAGACATAAATGGCACTTCTCTAATAGGCTTCCTGGTTGCGGAATCGGCTCCTTGCGTTCATCTTCTGACGGGCCCCATCGGTCTGCATCCTATCAATTACAAATCAAAAGGTCAAGGGCTGATAGGCTCAACATCAATTGACTTAGTCAAGAGTGCAAGAAGTAGAGTTTAGAGTTTGAATCTTACCGCATCTTCCAGTAGGGGGCTCCAGTTGAATGGGAGACAAGCTCTGTCTCACTAAGGCATCTGGATCAGCGTTAACTGTCTTCCGCTAACAAAGAAAAAAACAGAGGCATTAATAAAGACTTCATCATTAATAAGAGTCATTAAAATGCACAGACTGCAGAGAACAAGGCCAATTCCAATCTTAACCTCACCTGGGGTTTAGAGAGGAAATCGGGAATTTCAAAGTGGAACAAGTGCAGTTTCTTACTTACCCTTTTCACTAATAGGATGCACTGTACATAACTAGACAATAAATTCCTCTTCTTCTGTTGGCCGGCCTTGGTCCTCCAACGTCGTCCTCCAGCGTCGTCCTCCAGCGTCGTCCCCCGTCCGGGAACCTGAAAATATACAGCTAGAACAAAATTAGTAAAAACTCAACACAATAAACACAAATAATTCGAGAAATTGACATAAACACAAACATTAAACGAAGATGAGATGAACAAATCGATTAAGAAAATGAAGACAATTTAAGCAATTAGATCAGGAAAGAGTAAAATGGAGGAAGAGGATGGGGAGGAGAAGATAAGTTTTAGTTATGTTAGCGTAGGGAGGATACAGGAAACAGACAAAAAATAAGAAAGGGAGACATAAATGGCACTTCTCTAATAGGCTTCCTGGTTGCGGAATCGGCTCCTTGCGTTCATCTTCTGACGGGCCCCATCGGTCTGCATCCTATCAATTACAAATCAAAAGGTCAAGGGCTGATAGGCTCAACATCAATTGACTTAGTCAAGAGTGCAAGAAGTAGAGTTTAGAGTTTGAATCTTACCGCATCTTCCAGTAGGGGGCTCCAGTTGAATGGGAGACAAGCTCTGTCTCACTAAGGCATCTGGATCAGCGTTAACTGTCTTCCGCTAACAAAGAAAAAAACAGAGGCATTAATAAAGACTTCATCATTAATAAGAGTCATTAAAATGCACAGACTGCAGAGAACAAGGCCAATTCCAATCTTAACCTCACCTGGGGTTTAGAGAGGAAATCGGGAATTTCAAAGTGGAACAAGTGCAGTTTCTTACTTACCCTTTTCACTAATAGGATGCACTGTACATAACTAGACAATAAATTCCTCTTCTTCTGTTGGCCGGCCTTGGTCCTCCAACGTCGTCCTCCAGCGTCGTCCTCCAGCGTCGTCCCCCGTCCGGGAACCTGAAAATATACAGCTAGAACAAAATTAGTAAAAACTCAACACAATAAACACAAATAATTCGAGAAATTGACATAAACACAAACATTAAACGAAGATGAGATGAACAAATCGATTAAGAAAATGAAGACAATTTAAGCAATTAGATCAGGAAAGAGTAAAATGGAGGAAGAGGATGGGGAGGAGAAGATAAGTTTTAGTTATGTTAGCGTAGGGAGGATACAGGAAACAGACAAAAAATAAGAAAGGGAGACATAAATGGCACTTCTCTAATAGGCTTCCTGGTTGCGGAATCGGCTCCTTGCGTTCATCTTCTGACGGGCCCCATCGGTCTGCATCCTATCAATTACAAATCAAAAGGTCAAGGGCTGATAGGCTCAACATCAATTGACTTAGTCAAGAGTGCAAGAAGTAGAGTTTAGAGTTTGAATCTTACCGCATCTTCCAGTAGGGGGCTCCAGTTGAATGGGAGACAAGCTCTGTCTCACTAAGGCATCTGGATCAGCGTTAACTGTCTTCCGCTAACAAAGAAAAAAACAGAGGCATTAATAAAGACTTCATCATTAATAAGAGTCATTAAAATGCACAGACTGCAGAGAACAAGGCCAATTCCAATCTTAACCTCACCTGGGGTTTAGAGAGGAAATCGGGAATTTCAAAGTGGAACAAGTGCAGTTTCTTACTTACCCTTTTCACTAATAGGATGCACTGTACATAACTAGACAATAAATTCCTCTTCTTCTGTTGGCCGGCCTTGGTCCTCCAACGTCGTCCTCCAGCGTCGTCCTCCAGCGTCGTCCTCCAGCGTCGTCCCCCGTCCGGGAACCTGAAAATATACAGCTAGAACAAAATTAGTAAAAACTCAACACAATAAACACAAATAATTCGAGAAATTGACATAAACACAAACATTAAACGAAGATGAGATGAACAAATCGATTAAGAAAATGAAGACAATTTAAGCAATTAGATCAGGAAAGAGTAAAATGGAGGAAGAGGATGGGGAGGAGAAGATAAGTTTTAGTTATGTTAGCGTAGGGAGGATACAGGAAACAGACAAAAAATAAGAAAGGGAGACATAAATGGCACTTCTCTAATAGGCTTCCTGGTTGCGGAATCGGCTCCTTGCGTTCATCTTCTGACGGGCCCCATCGGTCTGCATCCTATCAATTACAAATCAAAAGGTCAAGGGCTGATAGGCTCAACATCAATTGACTTAGTCAAGAGTGCAAGAAGTAGAGTTTAGAGTTTGAATCTTACCGCATCTTCCAGTAGGGGGCTCCAGTTGAATGGGAGACAAGCTCTGTCTCACTAAGGCATCTGGATCAGCGTTAACTGTCTTCCGCTAACAAAGAAAAAAACAGAGGCATTAATAAAGACTTCATCATTAATAAGAGTCATTAAAATGCACAGACTGCAGAGAACAAGGCCAATTCCAATCTTAACCTCACCTGGGGTTTAGAGAGGAAATCGGGAATTTCAAAGTGGAACAAGTGCAGTTTCTTACTTACCCTTTTCACTAATAGGATGCACTGTACATAACTAGACAATAAATTCCTCTTCTTCTGTTGGCCGGCCTTGGTCCTCCAACGTCGTCCTCCAGCGTCGTCCTCCAGCGTCGTCCCCCGTCCGGGAACCTGAAAATATACAGCTAGAACAAAATTAGTAAAAACTCAACACAATAAACACAAATAATTCGAGAAATTGACATAAACACAAACATTAAACGAAGATGAGATGAACAAATCGATTAAGAAAATGAAGACAATTTAAGCAATTAGATCAGGAAAGAGTAAAATGGAGGAAGAGGATGGGGAGGAGAAGATAAGTTTTAGTTATGTTAGCGTAGGGAGGATACAGGAAACAGACAAAAAATAAGAAAGGGAGACATAAATGGCACTTCTCTAATAGGCTTCCTGGTTGCGGAATCGGCTCCTTGCGTTCATCTTCTGACGGGCCCCATCGGTCTGCATCCTATCAATTACAAATCAAAAGGTCAAGGGCTGATAGGCTCAACATCAATTGACTTAGTCAAGAGTGCAAGAAGTAGAGTTTAGAGTTTGAATCTTACCGCATCTTCCAGTAGGGGGCTCCAGTTGAATGGGAGACAAGCTCTGTCTCACTAAGGCATCTGGATCAGCGTTAACTGTCTTCCGCTAACAAAGAAAAAAACAGAGGCATTAATAAAGACTTCATCATTAATAAGAGTCATTAAAATGCACAGACTGCAGAGAACAAGGCCAATTCCAATCTTAACCTCACCTGGGGTTTAGAGAGGAAATCGGGAATTTCAAAGTGGAACAAGTGCAGTTTCTTACTTACCCTTTTCACTAATAGGATGCACTGTACATAACTAGACAATAAATTCCTCTTCTTCTGTTGGCCGGCCTTGGTCCTCCAACGTCGTCCTCCAGCGTCGTCCTCCAGCGTCGTCCCCCGTCCGGGAACCTGAAAATATACAGCTAGAACAAAATTAGTAAAAACTCAACACAATAAACACAAATAATTCGAGAAATTGACATAAACACAAACATTAAACGAAGATGAGATGAACAAATCGATTAAGAAAATGAAGACAATTTAAGCAATTAGATCAGGAAAGAGTAAAATGGAGGAAGAGGATGGGGAGGAGAAGATAAGTTTTAGTTATGTTAGCGTAGGGAGGATACAGGAAACAGACAAAAAATAAGAAAGGGAGACATAAATGGCACTTCTCTAATAGGCTTCCTGGTTGCGGAATCGGCTCCTTGCGTTCATCTTCTGACGGGCCCCATCGGTCTGCATCCTATCAATTACAAATCAAAAGGTCAAGGGCTGATAGGCTCAACATCAATTGACTTAGTCAAGAGTGCAAGAAGTAGAGTTTAGAGTTTGAATCTTACCGCATCTTCCAGTAGGGGGCTCCAGTTGAATGGGAGACAAGCTCTGTCTCACTAAGGCATCTGGATCAGCGTTAACTGTCTTCCGCTAACAAAGAAAAAAACAGAGGCATTAATAAAGACTTCATCATTAATAAGAGTCATTAAAATGCACAGACTGCAGAGAACAAGGCCAATTCCAATCTTAACCTCACCTGGGGTTTAGAGAGGAAATCGGGAATTTCAAAGTGGAACAAGTGCAGTTTCTTACTTACCCTTTTCACTAATAGGATGCACTGTACATAACTAGACAATAAATTCCTCTTCTTCTGTTGGCCGGCCTTGGTCCTCCAACGTCGTCCTCCAGCGTCGTCCTCCAGCGTCGTCCCCCGTCCGGGAACCTGAAAATATACAGCTAGAACAAAATTAGTAAAAACTCAACACAATAAACACAAATAATTCGAGAAATTGACATAAACACAAACATTAAACGAAGATGAGATGAACAAATCGATTAAGAAAATACAGGAAACAGACAAAAAATAAGAAAGGGAGACTAAGGAATCGGCTCCTTGCGTTCATCTTCTGACGGGCCCCATCGGTCTGCATCCTATCAATTACAAATCAAAAGTCAAGGCTGATAGGCTCAACAAGAATGAAGACAATTTAAGCAATTAGATCAGGAAAGAGTAAAATGGAGGAAGAGGATGGGGAGGAGAAGATAAGTTTTAGTTATGTTAGCGTAGGGAGGATACAGGAAACAGACAAAAAATAAGAAAGGGAGACATAAATGGCACTTCTCTAATAGGCTTCCTGGTTGCGGAATCGGCTCCTTGCGTTCATCTTCTGACGGGCCCCATCGGTCTGCATCCTATCAATTACAAATCAAAAGGTCAAGGGCTGATAGGCTCAACATCAATTGACTTAGTCAAGAGTGCAAGAAGTAGAGTTTAGAGTTTGAATCTTACCGCATCTTCCAGTAGGGGGCTCCAGTTGAATGGGAGACAAGCTCTGTCTCACTAAGGCATCTGGATCAGCGTTAACTGTCTTCCGCTAACAAAGAAAAAAACAGAGGCATTAATAAAGACTTCATCATTAATAAGAGTCATTAAAATGCACAGACTGCAGAGAACAAGGCCAATTCCAATCTTAACCTCACCTGGGGTTTAGAGAGGAAATCGGGAATTTCAAAGTGGAACAAGTGCAGTTTCTTACTTACCCTTTTCACTAATAGGATGCACTGTACATAACTAGACAATAAATTCCTCTTCTTCTGTTGGCCGGCCTTGGTCCTCCAACGTCGTCCTCCAGCGTCGTCCTCCAGCGTCGTCCCCCGTCCGGGAACCTGAAAATATACAGCTAGAACAAAATTAGTAAAAACTCAACACAATAAACACAAATATTTCGAGAAATTGACATAAACACAAACATTAAACGAAGATGAGATGAACAAATCGATTAAGAAAATGAAGACAATTTAAGCAATTAGATCAGGAAAGAGTAAAATGGAGGAAGAGGATGGGGAGGAGAAGATAAGTTTTAGTTATGTTAGCGTAGGGAGGATACAGGAAACAGACAAAAAATAAGAAAGGGAGACATAAATGGCACTTCTCTAATAGGCTTCCTGGTTGCGGAATCGGCTCCTTGCGTTCATCTTCTGACGGGCCCCATCGGTCTGCATCCTATCAATTACAAATCAAAAGGTCAAGGGCTGATAGGCTCAACATCAATTGACTTAGTCAAGAGTGCAAGAAGTAGAGTTTAGAGTTTGAATCTTACCGCATCTTCCAGTAGGGGGCTCCAGTTGAATGGGAGACAAGCTCTGTCTCACTAAGGCATCTGGATCAGCGTTAACTGTCTTCCGCTAACAAAGAAAAAAACAGAGGCATTAATAAAGACTTCATCATTAATAAGAGTCATTAAAATGCACAGACTGCAGAGAACAAGGCCAATTCCAATCTTAACCTCACCTGGGGTTTAGAGAGGAAATCGGGAATTTCAAAGTGGAACAAGTGCAGTTTCTTACTTACCCTTTTCACTAATAGGATGCACTGTACATAACTAGACAATAAATTCCTCTTCTTCTGTTGGCCGGCCTTGGTCCTCCAACGTCGTCCTCCAGCGTCGTCCTCCAGCGTCGTCCGGGTACCTGAAAATATACAGCTAGAACAAAATTAGTAAAAACTCAACACAATAAACACAAATAATTCGAGAAATTGACATAAACACAAACATTAAACGAAGATGAGATGAACAAATCGATTAAGAAAATGAAGACAATTTAAGCAATTAGATCAGGAAAGAGTAAAATGGAGGAAGAGGATGGGGAGGAGAAGATAAGTTTTAGTTATGTTAGCGTAGGGAGGATACAGGAAACAGACAAAAAATAAGAAAGGGAGACATAAATGGCACTTCTCTAATAGGCTTCCTGGTTGCGGAATCGGCTCCTTGCGTTCATCTTCTGACGGGCCCCATCGGTCTGCATCCTATCAATTACAAATCAAAAGGTCAAGGGCTGATAGGCTCAACATCAATTGACTTAGTCAAGAGTGCAAGAAGTAGAGTTTAGAGTTTGAATCTTACCGCATCTTCCAGTAGGGGGCTCCAGTTGAATGGGAGACAAGCTCTGTCTCACTAAGGCATCTGGATCAGCGTTAACTGTTAACTGTCTTCCGCTAACAAAGAAAAAAACAGAGGCATTAATAAAGACTTCATCATTAATAAGAGTCATTAAAATGCACAGACTGCAGAGAACAAGGCCAATTCCAATCTTAACCTCACCTGGGGTTTAGAGAGGAAATCGGGAATTTCAAAGTGGAACAAGTGCAGTTTCTTACTTACCCTTTTCACTAATAGGATGCACTGTACATAACTAGACAATAAATTCCTCTTCTTCTGTTGGCCGGCCTTGGTCCTCCAACGTCGTCCTCCAGCGTCGTCCTCCAGCGTCGTCCCCCGTCCGGGAACCTGAAAATATACAGCTAGAACAAAATTAGTAAAAACTCAACACAATAAACACAAATAATTCGAGAAATTGACATAAACACAAACATTAAACGAAGATGAGATGAACAAATCGATTAAGAAAATGAAGACAATTTAAGCAATTAGATCAGGAAAGAGTAAAATGGAGGAAGAGGATGGGGAGGAGAAGATAAGTTTTAGTTATGTTAGCGTAGGGAGGATACAGGAAACAGACAAAAAATAAGAAAGGGAGACATAAATGGCACTTCTCTAATAGGCTTCCTGGTTGCGGAATCGGCTCCTTGCGTTCATCTTCTGACGGGCCCCATCGGTCTGCATCCTATCAATTACAAATCAAAAGGTCAAGGGCTGATAGGCTCAACATCAATTGACTTAGTCAAGAGTGCAAGAAGTAGAGTTTAGAGTTTGAATCTTACCGCATCTTCCAGTAGGGGGCTCCAGTTGAATGGGAGACAAGCTCTGTCTCACTAAGGCATCTGGATCAGCGTTAACTGTCTTCCGCTAACAAAGAAAAAAACAGAGGCATTAATAAAGACTTCATCATTAATAAGAGTCATTAAAATGCACAGACTGCAGAGAACAAGGCCAATTCCAATCTTAACCTCACCTGGGGTTTAGAGAGGAAATCGGGAATTTCATAGTGGAACAAGTGCAGTTTCTTACTTACCCTTTTCACTAATAGGATGCACTGTACATAACTAGACAATAAATTCCTCTTCTTCTGTTGGCCGGCCTTGGTCCTCCAACGTCGTCCTCCAGCGTCGTCCTCCAGCGTCGTCCCCCGTCCGGGAACCTGAAAATATACAGCTAGAACAAAATTAGTAAAAACTCAACACAATAAACACAAATAATTCGAGAAATTGACATAAACACAAACATTAAACGAAGATGAGATGAACAAATCGATTAAGAAAATGAAGACAATTTAAGCAATTAGATCAGGAAAGAGTAAAATGGAGGAAGAGGATGGGGAGGAGAAGATAAGTTTTAGTTATGTTAGCGTAGGGAGGATACAGGAAACAGACAAAAAATAAGAAAGGGAGACATAAATGGCACTTCTCTAATAGGCTTCCTGGTTGCGGAATCGGCTCCTTGCGTTCATCTTCTGACGGGCCCCATCGGTCTGCATCCTATCAATTACAAATCAAAAGGTCAAGGGCTGATAGGCTCAACATCAATTGACTTAGTCAAGAGTGCAAGAAGTAGAGTTTAGAGTTTGAATCTTACCGCATCTTCCAGTAGGGGGCTCCAGTTGAATGGGAGACAAGCTCTGTCTCACTAAGGCATCTGGATCAGCGTTAACTGTCTTCCGCTAACAAAGAAAAAAACAGAGGCATTAATAAAGACTTCATCATTAATAAGAGTCATTAAAATGCACAGACTGCAGAGAACAAGGCCAATTCCAATCTTAACCTCACCTGGGGTTTAGAGAGGAAATCGGGAATTTCAAAGTGGAACAAGTGCAGTTTCTTACTTACCCTTTTCACTAATAGGATGCACTGTACATAACTAGACAATAAATTCCTCTTCTTCTGTTGGCCGGCCTTGGTCCTCCAACGTCGTCCTCCAGCGTCGTCCTCCAGCGTCGTCCCCCGTCCGGGAACCTGAAAATATACAGCTAGAACAAAATTAGTAAAACTCAACACAATAAACACAAATAATTCGAAATTGACATAAACACAAAATTGACATAAACACAAACATTAAACGAAGATGAGATGAACAAATCGATTACAGAAACAGACAAAAAATGAAGACAATTTAAGCAATTAGATCAGGCATCCTATCAATTACAAATCAAAAGAGTATCAAATAGTCAAGAGTGCAAGAAGAGGATAGGGGGCTCCAGGATGGGAGAGCAAGAGCGTTAACTGTTTTAGTTATAAAGACTTCATCATTAATAAGAGTCATTAAAATGCACAGACTGCATAGAACAAGGCCAATTCCAATCTTAACCTCACCTGGGGTTTAGAGAGGAAATCGGGAATTTCAAAGTGGAACAAGTGCAGTTTCTTACTTACCCTTTTCACTAATAGGATGCACTGTACATAACTAGACAATAAATTCCTCTTCTTCTGTTGGCCGGCCTTGGTCCTCCAACGTCGTCCTCCAGCGTCGTCCTCCACTGTACATAACTAGAAATAAATTCCTCTTCTTCTGTTGGCCGGCCTTGGTCCTCCAACAGCGTCGGGAACCTGAAAATATACAGCTAGAACAAAATTAGTAAAAACACAACACAATAAACACAAATAATTCGAGAAATTGACATAAACACAAACATTAAACGAAGATGAGATGAACAAATCGATTAAGAAAATGAAGACAATTTAAGCAATTAGATCAGGAAAGAGTAAAATGGAGGAAGAGGATGGGGAGAAAATAAGTTTTAGTTATGTTAGCAATTACAGGAAACAGACAAAAAATAAGAAAGGGAGACATAAATGGCACTTCTCTAATAGGCTTCCTGGTTGCGGAATCGGCTCCTTGCGTTCATCTTCTGACGGGAGCATCCTATCAATTACAAATCAAAATCAAGGGCTGATAGGCTCAAATCAATTGACTTAGTCAAGAGTGCAAGAAGTAGAGTTTAAGTTTGAATCTTAGCATCTTTTAGTTACAAGCTCTGTTCACTAAGGCATCTGGATAGGCGTTAAGGAAGAAAAAAACAGACAGGAAACAGACAAAAAATAAGAAAGGAACAAAATTAGACAATAAACACAAATGGCACATTAAACGAAGATGAGATGAACAAATCTAAGATAGGCTTAAGCAATTAGATCAGGAAAGAGTAAAATGGAGGAAGAGGATGGGGAGGAGAAGATAAGTTTTAGTTATGTTAGCGTAGGGAGGATACAGGAAACAGACAAAAAATAAGAAAGGGAGACATAAATGGCAGGAATCGGCTCCTTGCGTTCATCTTCTGACGGGCCCCATCGGTCTGCATCCTATCAATTACAAATCAAAAGGTCAAGGGCTGATAGGCTCAACATCAATTGACTTAGTCAAGAGTGCAAGAAGTAGAGTTTAGAGTTTGAATCTTACCGCATCTTCCAGTAGGGGGCTCCAGTTGAATGGGAGACAAGCTCTGTCTCACTAAGGCATCTGGATCAGCGTTAACTGTCTTCCGCTAACAAAGAAAAAAACAGAGGCATTAATAAAGACTTCATCATTAATAAGAGTCATTAAAATGCACAGACTGCAGAGAACAAGGCCAATTCCAATCTTAACCTCACCTGGGGTTTAGAGAGGAAATCGGGAATTTCAAAGTGGAACAAGTGCAGTTTCTTACTTACCCTTTTCACTAATAGGATGCACTGTACATAACTAGACAATAAATTCCTCTTCTTCTGTTGGCCGGCCTTGGTCCTCCAACGTCGTCCTCCAGCGTCGTCCTCCAGCGTCGTCCCCCGTCCGGGAACCTGAAAATATACAGCTAGAACAAAATTAGTAAAAACTCAACACAATAAACACAAATAATTCGAGAAATTGACATAAACACAAACATTAAACGAAGATGAGATGAACAAATCGATTAAGAAAATGAAGACAATTTAAGCAATTAGATCAGGAAAGAGTAAAATGGAGGAAGAGGATGGGGAGGAGAAGATAAGTTTTAGTTATGTTAGCGTAGGGAGGATACAGGAAACAGACAAAAAATAAGAAAGGGAGACATAAATGGCACTTCTCTAATAGGCTTCCTGGTTGCGGAATCGGCTCCTTGCGTTCATCTTCTGACGGGCCCCATCGGTCTGCATCCTATCAATTACAAATCAAAAGGTCAAGGGCTGATAGGCTCAACATCAATTGACTTAGTCAAGAGTGCAAGAAGTAGAGTTTAGAGTTTGAATCTTACCGCATCTTCCAGTAGGGGGCTCCAGTTGAATGGGAGACAAGCTCTGTCTCACTAAGGCATCTGGATCAGCGTTAACTGTCTTCCGCTAACAAAGAAAAAAACAGAGGCATTAATAAAGACTTCATCATTAATAAGAGTCATTAAAATGCACAGACTGCAGAGAACAAGGCCAATTCCAATCTTAACCTCACCTGGGGTTTAGAGAGGAAATCGGGAATTTCAAAGTGGAACAAGTGCAGTTTCTTACTTACCCTTTTCACTAATAGGATGCACTGTACATAACTAGACAATAAATTCCTCTTCTTCTGTTGGCCGGCCTTGGTCCTCCAACGTCGTCCTCCAGCGTCGTCCTCCAGCGTCGTCCCCCGTCCGGGAACCTGAAAATATACAGCTAGAACAAAATTAGTAAAAACTCAACACAATAAACACAAATAATTCGAGAAATTGACATAAACACAAACATTAAACGAAGATGAGATGAACAAATCGATTAAGAAAATGAAGACAATTTAAGCAATTAGATCAGGAAAGAGTAAAATGGAGGAAGAGGATGGGGAGGAGAAGATAAGTTTTAGTTATGTTAGCGTAGGGAGGATACAGGAAACAGACAAAAAATAAGAAAGGGAGACATAAATGGCACTTCTCTAATAGGCTTCCTGGTTGCGGAATCGGCTCCTTGCGTTCATCAATTACAAATGTCAACGGGCTCAACATCCTTAGTCATGCGGAATCTGCATCCTATCAATTACAAATCAAAAGGTCTCAAGGGCTGAGACTGCAGAGAACAAGGCTCAACATCAATTGACTTAGTCAAGAGTGCAAGAAGTAGAATTTAGAGTTTGAATCTTAACGAGAAATTGCATCTTCCAGTAGGGGGCTCCAGTTTTAGTTATGTTAGCGTAGGGAGGATACAGGAAACAGACAAAAAATAAAAAGGAGACAAGCTCTGTCTCACTAAGGCATCTGGATCAGCGTTAACTGTCTTCCGCTAACAAAGAAAAAAACAGAGGCATTAATAAAGACTTCATCATTAATAAGAGAAAAAAACAGAGGCAAATAAAGACTTCATCATTAATAAGAGTCATTAAAATGCACAGACTGCAGAGAACAAGGCCAATTCCAATCTTAACCTCACCTGGGGTTTAGAGAGGAAATCGGGAATTTCAAAGTGGAACAAGTGCAGTTTCTTACTTACCCTTTTCACTAATAGGATGCACTGTACATAACTAGACAATAAATTCCTCTTCTTCTGTTGGCCGGCCTTGGTCCTCCAACGTCGTCCTCCAGCGTCGTCCTCCAGCGTCGTCCCCCGTCCGGGAACCTGAAAATATACAGCTAGAACAAAATTAGTAAAAACTCAACACAATAAACACAAATAATTCGAGAAATTGACATAAACACAAACATTAAACGAAGATGAGATGAACAAATCGATTAAGAAAATGAAGACAATTTAAGCAATTAGATCAGGAAAGAGTAAAATGGAGGAAGAGGATGGGGAGGAGAAGATAAGTTTTAGTTATGTTAGCGTAGGGAGGATACAGGAAACAGACAAAAAATAAGAAAGGGAGACATAAATGGCACTTCTCTAATAGGCTTCCTGGTTGCGGAATCGGCTCCTTGCGTTCATCTTCTGACGGGCCCCATCGGTCTGCATCCTATCAATTACAAATCAAACAAAAACATTAACCTGGTCATTCCTTTGCTGAAATTGCAGCATATGAAACTTTGACTGGTACAATGAAACACACTAGAAGCATCTTCCATGCATGTGTAATCAATATAGGACATAGAAGTACTTAAAAAGAAAACTGCTCCAAAAAAATTAACCTGGAACGCCGACACCGACACCGACGCCGACGCCGAGGGTATTACATAAGCTCCCCCAACTTCGTTGAGGTGAGCTAAAAAGTAAATTTAACAAGATGTGTTTGTGAAACACTATGCGCCCGGCGGCAACTAAGTTACAAAAAACTATTTTTAGCATATAGGTCACAGTAAAGGTCACAAGATCATTGATATTAATGTTATTTGAAAGAACTTTATTAGTGGAGTATGCATACCAAATATGAAGTCTATACGTATCTCCTATGGTTCAAAATTTATGGCAAAAGTTCGAAAATAGCCATTTTTAGCATTAAGGTCACAGTCAAGGTCACAAGGTTAATAACTTTGGTGTCATTTGTATGAGCTTTATTAGTGAAGTATGCATACCAAATATGAAGTTTCCATCTCCTATGCTTCAAAAGTTATGGCAAAAGTTTGAAAAATCTATTTTTAGCATGTAGGGCACAGTCAAGGTCACAAGGTCATTGACCTAGGTTTTTTTTGAAAGAACTTTATTAGTGGAGTATGCATACCAAATATGAAGTCTCTATATCTCAAGGTTCGAAAGTTATGGCGAAGGTTAAAGTTTTCAGCAGACAGACAAACAGACAGGACAAAAACAATGTACGCCTCAGATCTATCGATCCGGGCGCATAAAAAGATGATATAGAATTAAATCAGTAAAAGTAGATCTTATAGGGAGAAGGCGTCATAACTTTTTTAGAACTTGTGCCCAATTAGAAATTACAATAAAATATGTTCAAACCAAATAGATCTCAAATTAGATTGTTCAAAAAAAGCTTTAGGTCCATAAAATCAAAATATATACATATATATATATATATATATATATATATATATATATATATATATATATATATATATATATATATATATATATATATATATATATATATATATATATATATATATATATATATATAGTTGTTAAGAATTTTGTGTCTATGCTTTTGCAAAATGACATATATATCCTATGGACTGAGTGCAAAGTGTTCATTTCCATAATTGATGCATATTAAATGCTTACAGCGACACTATGATAAACAAATATATACTTGCTACATTATTTTATTCATCCAGAAAGATTTTATTTCAATAGGCAAGTGATAATCAGAATTTTATATTGGTGTGTAAAATTAAAACCGGATCAGTAAAAGTAACTACCTTTGTTAAGCATATTCAATTTGTGAATTAACTGATCATCAAATACAGCAATGCAGGGGCAGATCTAGAATTTTTCCAAAGGGGAGGGGTTGAAGGGGGTGAAGAGAAAAAGTGGGGGCTTACATAATGGTAAAACATCTAATAGGGCAGATCTAGAATTTTTCCAAAGGGGAGGGGTTGAACTGTGGGGGGTGAAGAGAAAAAGTGTTTTTATAACGTACGCTTACATAATGGTAAAAATATTACATCTAATAGGATATACAGGAAGGGGGTCAGCATAGAGAAAAACTATGAATTACCTGAAAGTTTTAAACTTGAAAATCCTCTTTGTGGGGGTGGTGGTGGTAGGGGGGGGTTGCCTATTTGGAGTGGGTGGTAAGTTGTTTCAGTGTCATTTTCTTTACTCATACATACTACATTACCCTTACTTTACAACATACTGCAAAAAAAGTGGGTACCCTGTATTCAATGAATATTTTCTATAGTAAAAAAAAATATCTCTTTAAAAAAGTTTGGACCCCCCCCCCCCTTTAATACTACATGTACATGTACCTGCCTGTATATCTCCGAACAAAAAAAAATTCTATTTTGTAACGAGGTATGCATCTTGTTTTCACAGCAGAATTCCTTCATAAATTACAACATTAGCCTTTCGCTGAACATGGTAAAAAAACATCGTTTCTACATGGTAGAAACACGACAAACTTGGGGACTATCTCTCTCTCTCTCTCTCTCTCTCTACCTCTCTCTCTCTTTCTCTCTCTCTAGCAAATATAAAGGGAGGTTGCAACCATGTAATCCACCCACTCCCCTCCCTCTGGATCTACCACTGGCAATGTGCGATTTTTAGTTTTGTTTTTAACGTATATGCATATGTCAATGTGTTTAGGCGATATTCGAAGCAACTATTAATGATCTATTATAATAGCAATTTCAATATTAAATGTGAGCATGGATCAATATCCTTTGTTTACTGAGTAAAATCTTCCTTATGTACAGCTTTAAGTAACCAGGTATCTATTACCCTTACAAAAATGACTAGTTTACATGTACTATAGTATATACTATATAACTATATAGTTATGGAATGGGTATAGGGGAAAAAGCAAATTTATGGTTCTCCGAGGGAGAAAAATACTAGTATGTCTCGATGCTTGTTTTATTTTGTTTGCTTGTTTGTTTATTTGTTTGTTTGTTTTTTTTTTTTGTTGTTGTTTTTTGTTTTGTTGTTTTTTGTTTTGTTTTTTGGTTGTTTTTTTTTTGCTGTCTCCAACATCCCTTTCAAAGACAGGTCTACGAGCCGGTCAAAATGAAAAATACCTTCCATAAAGGAAGTTAACCTGACTTGATGCTGTCTCTAAGATCTAAGTGTTCATTTGCAGATCAAAATGTACATACGATTTCGTATGCAACTGCAAGCTATACCGTTTTAATCTTCTATTAATTAATTTCGTCAAGGCGATGTAGTGTTTAAAATAATAAACAGCATTTGTTTGTTCAAGAAAAGTAATAAAAGTATCTCACATGCACGTATAGCAACAGGGGGGCTAGGGGGCCTGCCCACCCACCACTTTTTTCCATCATAACTTTTACTACCGGTATTGAAAATATTCAGTGAAAGACTGGTAGCCCCCCCCTCCCCGGCGGATCCGGGGCCGGCGCGCCGGTCGTGCGCCCTCCCGATTGAATTTTTTGTGTATAAAATTTATATGTGCATTATCCTAAAATCAAGGAGAAAACATCTCTTATTTGTAAAAATTTGTCAGCCTCTTTGTATGCAAAGATAAGTTTTTTTTGCTTGTCAACTTTTTTCAGGTAGGTAAAAAGGTAAAAAAAAAAAAAAAAAAAACCAAGAGACCCAGGGGCCACAGCGCTCACCTAAGCACATCGGCTAGGAAAAAGCACATATCAGATCAGAACTGAAAGTTTACTGAGGTGGGAGGGGGGCTTGAATTTTAACCCCCCAGGGGATCATGATTTGAACGAACTAGAATCTACACTACCTGAGGATGATTCCATATAAATATTACTAATCATGGCTTTGAAGTACTTGAAAAGAAGATTTTAAAAGGTTTCCATATATATTCCTATGTAAAATTTTGGTCGGCCATTTTGGCCTGACCCCGGCCCCGGGGGTCATGATTTGAACAAACTTGAATCTACACTACCTGAGGATAATTTCATACGAGTTTCATCTCTCGTGTCTCAATGGTTATTGAGAAGATTTTTAAAGATTTTTCCTATATATTCCTATGTAAAACTTTGATCGGCCATATTGGCTCCACCCTACCCCCGGGGTGGAGCGCTTTGAACAAACTTGAATCTACACTACCTGAGGATGATTCCACATGAGTTTCATCGTTCCTGGCCCAGTTGTTCTTCAGAAGAAGATTTTTAAAGATTTTTCCTATATATTCCTATGTAAAAATTTGATTGGCCATTTTGGCCCCACCCAGCCCTCGGGGGGTCATGATTTGAACAAATTTGAATCTACACTACCTGAGGATGATTCCACATGAGTTTCATGTTTCCTGGCCCAGTGGTTCTTGAGAAGAAGATTTTTTAAAAATGCCATTAATTTTTCTCTAATTCATAATTATCTCCCCTTGGAAAAGGGTGTGGCCCTTTATTAGAACAAACCTGAATCCCCTTTACCCAAGG